TTTTGAAGGTGAGGAGGGACTTGGTTAGTGTTGAGGTAGTTCGTTGAATATGACGTGTCGGGATATGATAACTTTGTCGGTGGGAGGATAAGAACATTTGTAGCCTTTGAAAATGTCAGGATACCTGAGAAAGACACATTCCATTGATCGTTGGTCAAGTTTGGTGCGTTGTGATGGAGAAAGTCAAGGGAACCACAGATTTTCATATGCAAGTTTTTTATTTTTATTTTTATTTTTTTTTGTACATGAGAGGTGTTGCAGGTGTTGGGGGAAGACATCTTGTTGATAAGGTGAAAGGTTGTACGTATAGTGTCAGACAAAAATTTTAGTGATAGGTTGGAGGTGGCAAGTAAATTTCTGAACTTTTTGAATATGTGAAGATATTTTCATTTGACAAAGACCATTTTGTTAGGGTTTGTAGAGTCATGAGTACTTGTGAATGATGCCCTTTTTGGCCAAGAATTTATCAAACTGATGGTTCTTGCATTCTCTACCACCATTAGATTTAGGATTTTGATATGGGAGCTGAATTGCTTTTCAACCTGGTGGTAAAAATTAATGAAATGAGTTAATGTTCCAGTTTTATGAATCATAGGAATATCCATGTATATCTTGACACATCATCAACGAAGATTACTTAGAATCAATAACCTTAATTAGAAATATGCAGGGATGGCCCTCATACATAATGTAAGAATTACAAAAGGAATTATAGCTATGAATTTGAAGATGCAGATGCTGATTTACAATAGTACGAAGGACTTAGCTTTGGGGATGACTGATTCTGTGGTGCCACATGTCAGCTGTAGTAGTTCTTGAGAGCATGGACTGCTTGCGGATGGGAATGAGATAAAGTCCCTGATGACAGAGGCCTTGGAGTAGTGTTTGTTAGGTTGTACAATCTTTAATTTGGTAACTTTAGGCACCAAAAAGAACGATACAGTTATTGTCAGAAGCATATTGAGAAATAGAGATGAGGTTGTGAGTGATTTGTGGGGTGTTGAATAGTTTGGTAAGTGATAGCTTACGCGTGGGATCAATGAACAGATCTTGACTGCTGTTTTGTAAAGGGATAGCACAATTCTAGAGAGGAAAGCTACTTGAATTACATTTGCAAGAATTATTACATTTAATAAAATAAATTCAATTAAACAATGTCAAAAAGTGCTCCATTTTTTCAGAAAGGAAAAAAAATAAGTTAAAAAATTAGCTCTTCAGTTTTCCCATATCTATTTTTCTTTATCTGTAAATTAAAATTATATATTTTTATATCATTTACATATAATAAAGATGACATAATTTTTAAACTCACTGCGATGGAATTAATTACGATATATTGGAGGAATAGATGTTCAGCCCAAATAGGTTTCATGGAGGAACTCTATGTCATGAGTATGTTATGAACGGCTCCCTAAGAACAAGTATTGACCAATAGAAGGAATCTCAGCCAGAATTTGCTTAAAACAAAAGCTTTCATGTAATGATGTCATGAACGGCTCCCTAAGAACAAGTGTTGCAATGGGAAATAGACTGATAATACTATGCATGTTGACCAATAGACGAAATCTCATCCAGAATTTGCTTAAAACAAAAGCTTTCATGTAATGCAGCACAGAATTGAGCTGCCTTATTACACTTCCTACGTATGTTTCACTTAAAATGGGGAAAAAGGCTAGGCCGGTGCAACTATGGGTTGAAGTTGCCAATGCTTCCTCTCCAATGTGCTTTGCAAGAACTTCATAATGTTGGAGTCGTCTCCTTCAACAATAATTCCTATACATTTACAATTCCTATACATTTACGCATCCAAGGCTCGCAAATTTTCTAAATAGAGATAATCACTTGAAGCTCCACAACAGCACTACCCATGCTCAAACCATTGCATGACCGCCACAGTGCTTGCCAAACCAAATAGCAAAAGAGCTCCGTCCACATTAACCTTTACCCATCCATGCGAGTTTGATACCAGAGAAAGTTGGAGGACAGCCCAAGAGGTTGGCTAGTATCCCAATGCTCCCGGATGGATAAAGGTAACTTAATATAAGTGAATTAAGGGTCTGTTTGGGGCAACTGTTGATTATTTATAATCTGCTGATAAGCAGATTATTCTGATAATCTGCAGATTATAAGAATAAGCTGTCTTGTTGTTTGAGACAGCTTATTCAGAACAGTTTACTGGGAGCTGTTATTGGATAAATGACTATTCTGCCCCTATTTGGTTAAGCTGTTTGCAATAGAACTGAATGAGGAAAATAATAGATAAAACAAAAGTCTCAAACTAATACAGTTGAGTTACAAAAATTAAAATACGTTCAAGAAGTAGCTCTTGATTGGCAACTGTCTTACACCGTTAAAAAAATCAATTAATTAGCTAATTTCAATGAAAAATAATAAAGAGTGGAAACCATCAAAAATGAAGAAGAGTTTATACTTGCTTGGTTGAAGATTATCGTGAGCAAATTGATTGGAAGGAAAGAATTCTGTGCGAATCGAATGGAAGAAAGGAGCTCTTCTGCGAACCGAATGGAAGAAGAGAGCTCTGTATGCGAACCGAATGGAAGAAGAGAACTCTGTGTGGAGATCGATCAGTAGAAAAGAGCTGTGTAGAAATCCATGCTTTCAGTTTTATGAAGAATCGAAAGCATCTTAAAGGAAAAAAAACCAAAGTAAAAAAAAAATTCCGATTTTCATCCATGTTTGAAGCTTAGCGCTCCAATTTCTTCTTCATCTACAGCAAAATAGAGGAAACTAAAAGTTGGAAATGTGAAGGGAGAAGGAGAGGTTTTATCAATTCGTGTTCGTCTTCCTCCTCTGACAGCTCCATGGAAAAAATGCCGCAAAGGAAAAGCTTCGTCCCGTAATGTCTGGCTGCTTCGTGTCGATCTTAGCGAAAAGTGAAGGACGAGAAGAAAGATCGGGGGAAGGGCGAGGCCAAGCAGAAGGGCACGAGAGAGATCGGAGAGGATAATAGCGAAGATCGGGAAAGGAGATCGCGAGAGAGATCTCAGAGGGGCACGGGTGGAATTCGAGCCTAGCGAACGCAAAACGCACAGGGACCCCGCGTGTAATCCGTAGAAGAAAATATATTAAGCGATTTTCGTCGTTTTGGTAACGCAATACCGAACGTTCTAACCAAACAGCCGGCGGCGTTTTCAAAACGCTGCCGCAACAAAATAAGCTGCCTCAAACGGGCCCTAAGTATGTTGGCAGCCATAATAGATGGTTTGCCAAGAAACGGGCCCCAAGTATGTTGGCAGCCATAATAGATGGTTTGCCAAGAGTGTGACCATGCAGCTTTGCGTTCCGCGCTTTCCAACAATGGTGAATAGTATTGCAAAATAGCCGGCAAGCAGGAAGAGAGCTGCGCCTATTCTCTCGGAATTTGGTGATAGCATCATCGAGGTCATTAAAAAGAGTAGTTGAAAAGCCCCATTTATTTAGAATCCGAAAAACCTCTTGCACAAAAGGGTAAGTGAGAATAATATGCGTACGATCCTCAATATTTGCACAGCCCAACAGGCAATTATTAGAATCCGAAAGCCTCCGACTAAGCAGCCAGTAATGCGTGGGGATGGCATCGAGTTGTAGGCACCGCCAGAAAATCCTCTCGCGTGGATATAAATGAAGCCGCGTGATCTAGGAGAACTCATCAATTTCGGGAGGGAAGAGGCCTTTCAAATTTTCAATGCCCCAATACTGAAACCAAATTAAAGCCTCAAAAACACCACTCTGCTAACCTCCGTTCACTTCATTATATTCGCACGTGTAACAGCCTATGATGTTGTTGAATCAATAAGGATTCGAAATTTTTACTGCGTAATTGCAACTGTCGTTCAAGAAAAGTTTGAAGAAACTATGCCAAATTTATGAGTGATCTCAGAATTGCTTCTCATAGGATACACCCAATGGCATTTAGAAAAGTCATTTATAAAAGAAACATAAGATCAAAATGTGCAAGTTCGAACGGTTTTGAATTAAAAGCATTTCTATTAGAAAAAAATAACTCGTGACTCTTTGCATGTTGACATGTTTTACACAAAAAAGGTAATAGCTTCAGTAAATCCTGTAAATCAAAATTTACTAAATCCTGCTTACACCAGGATTTAAGACAAATTTAAAGGGAATTGAGAAGAAACTGAATTTACTAAATCCATGATTTAAAATTTGCTATTTTTTTTTCTCTATTTAAGTTTTAATCTTCCTTAAATCCCTACAAAAAGGCCAAATTGTTTTGCAATCCATCATTTCCGTCATGAAATTGATTGGTTCTTGTATGCAATTGGGGTTGTTGAAGTTTATCCAAGTTGGTAGTAAGATGAGATGTAGCCCTCATAGTTACATAGAGGTAGCTCCTTGGGCAATTTTGATCTCCACAATGAATAAAAATCATCAGGACTGATTGGAATGAGCTAAATTCACATAGCAGTTTTGAAGGCTCGAGTCAGTGGGAGTTCATGAAGAATGTGGGGGATGTTAACCTCTTTCCCAATAGACAAACCAACAGATCTGTATTATCAACCTTGGCTATAACTTCCGATCGATATTGTTGCATTATCTGAATTTTTCACCGAGAGCAAGCAGTTCATTTTTTAGCTGAATAGCCCATCTCCGATTGGTAGGTTGAAGAAATATTTAATGGAGCTCCAGAAATTGATATGGGATTAAGGATTTAGAACAAACGGCAGGATGAGGCTGATATTGAGGAGAATAGAGCAGCTAAATCGATTTTGATCTATTAACATCCAAAATTTGTAGTGGATGTTGGGAGAAAGTTGACCGGTAACAGAGAAAAGTTGTTTGGCAGGACAGAAAATCACCAAAATCATTTGCTTCAAATAGTTTTACAATTTGAGGGCGCTACATGGGGTAATTATCAACATCAAGATGAATGTGAGCAACGTTTTAAAATTTGGACATGAAAATTTTGTGTTGGTGAGAGTATATTACCTATTTTGATAATGTGGCTGCAGAGGGATTTTGTTGAACTTTCTGAAGAAAAACAATAAAGCCTGCAATTCCAATAGTTAAAAAATGCATGTTATTACACTTCACCTGAATTTAGTAAAAATCATCACTGCACCGCTTATTTCTAAAATGAAACCATTTATACACTGAATCAGAAAAATTACAACTACACATATATTCATAACCATGCGAGAACGCTTAGCATGCAAAAATACATGGTAACGATCTACTCTCGAAGCAACTTATCTCTTATAGAGCATGACCCATCTAGCCACAGCAAGTATTGAATAATAACAGTATGGATGATAAACGGAATAAATTCATCAGTTCAAAGTAATATCAGAGCCAAGGAAGTCTATGTATTTGAATCTGTGGTTCAGTTCCGTCTACAGCACCACAAAAATCTCAAATCTTTTGTTTGAGAACTTGACGAAGCTGAATCTTCTGACTTTGAATCCTTGCCTCCATGAGTTTCGCCTTCAAACTTTGCTTCTTTGTCAGCTGTGGCCATTCAACATGGCCTTCAATCCCACTGGTGATATGATGGTTCATTAAATCAGGGGAACTCCAATTACCCACACAAGGTGAGCTGAAACCTTTTTCTGCAGACTTCCTTGCAGATGATAGGGTGGCATTGAAGGACCTACCATTCCAGAGCCTCCCACTGCTTAACTCAAAAGAGATCCTCTTGAAATCCTCAGCATTACTTCCACGTGTTGACTTCCAAAGCCTGAATAGCGAAGAACCTTTCTTTCTCAAATCCCTTGTTGCCGCAGAACAAACCTCACTGATTTCACTAATTTGTTTCCCATCATCTATATGATTATCACAATTTGCTCTGCTAACTGATGCCTGACTGTCTTCACGCACTCCACTAACAGAGGGTTCACTTCCTTTAGGTGACCTGCAGGAGTCCTCTTCTTCAACATGACTAGCAGTTTCCCACCCGCTATCATCTTCGTCTGCATCGCAATTTCCATAAAACATCATGTTGTCGTACCTTTTCATGGTATTTTCAGATAATCCATTCACCTCAGGTGTCACAGATCCATGACATTGTTTAGTCTCTTTTAAATTGCTCTGCTCTCTTGGCTGGAGTTCTTCAAAGATGGCAAAAATGCCATCAGAAGCAGTCGGAGGCTGGTATGTGAATTCTTTCATATCATGAGCTATGACTGATCCAACAGCCTCTTTAAGAGCTTTTGCTTTCTTAGAATAACAAGAACCATAATTGTTAGAACTTGCTAAGCTTAGAAAGGCTTCTATTTCCTCCTGCAACTTGCTAAGTTCTGAATATTTCTCCTCAAGAGCCAGTTTAGCATCAATTAACTTCATCTGTACTCTTTCTTCCCGCCATACCTCAGCCATCTGTAGCATCTTTCTCTCCTCTTCCACTTCTTCTCTGGTCTTCACCGACTCTATCTTCAGTGCTTCAACCTCAGCCTTATCATCCCCAATCTCCTTAGCCAGCTCATGGCAGACTTCTTCCAGAAGCTCACGGGCTTTCCTCTCCTTCTCAAACTCCTGCAAGGACTGCTTTGCAGATAACTTAGCCTCAGTAAGCTCATTACCAAGCTTGGCATTCATAACTTCTAAACTTTGAACGTACTTCCTCTCTCTTTTCAAATCTTCTTTCATTGCATCAATTACTGACCGGATCTTTTCATGCTCTCTTCTCCTCCATGCAGCCTTTTCTTCAACTTTCCTCACGTAGTGATCAAGCTCTTTCTTAGCAGATTGCCGTTCCACCTCAAGCTCTCTGATTTTGGACCATGCCCGTTCAAGCTCTAATCTCAGAGCAGAAACAATAGAGAACTTGTTGGTTTTCTGGTCTTCAAGAAGCTTGAGATTATCATACAAGTCAAATGTATCTTTAGATACCTTTGGATTGCGAAGGTTCCTTTCTGTCGCCCTCTCTGTTGACGAAGGGAGCAATGAAGCAGAAGCTTCAAGCTGATTAAGTTCATTGAGTCAATAAAGGGATGGAGAAATACAACTCAAAAGCGCAAAGATGTTTTTTTTTTCTTCTAATTAAACTACAACGAAACTAGAGATACCTTGTGTGATGTGCCATTCCTGTGATTTTTAATAGCACAAACGCTAATGAAATCTTCATGAGTATCGCGATGGAGATTAAAGCAATTGCCACTGGAGACATAAGCGGAGTGAAGCTGACCGCCATTGATCTTCAAACAAGAATATGCAACAAAAAAAGCAGAAATAGAATTTTAAAACAATAATATCAAATGACAAAGACGGCAATCAATATTTAAGAGAAATTTAAGAATCACATTATATGACCGCAAAACCGCCCATAAAAACCATGGACATTGTCACATCGGAAAGAACCCTATGGGGTCGCAGCTGAGTTCTATATGCCCCTTGATCCCATGAGAGCAACTACTTGTACAACCCGATATGATTTATGCAATATGAATGTCAAACGAATTCCCATGAGACCAACTACTTGTACAAATGCGTTCTTTCAAAATCGCATTTCCCGATATGATTTATGCAATATGAATGTCAAACGAATGCATAGAATGCTAGAAGAATTCAGGAAATCTACCAAGCTTTGGATTTAGAGACAAAAGAGATCCCTCAAAAACAGCCAATATGACACTGAAAGTCGTCAAGATGCCGACTGTTTAGAAGAAAATGCACAAACAATCTACTCGGAAACCCTAGAAAGAGGCTTTTTCAGCATCTAATATTTCCAAACCTCCAAATCCAAATTCGTTTCCTCTCCACCAACAACTTTCGGGAGCCGAAGATGCCAAATTCCGGCAGCGAGCCTCCTGGCTGAAACCGCCGTCCGCGTTCCGCCGACCGGTTTCCTCTGCTTTTTGAGGGTTTCGCCGCTTGGATCGGGCTGCGACTCGCCGCCGCGTGATCCTTCTTCGTCGAACTTCCACCGGAGCAAGGGAGTGACGGGGATACTTCGCTTTCCTCTGTCTGCACTGCACTCGGCTGACACAAATAAGGGATGATGGGGCCGGCGGCGGCGACGTCGCCACCGGAGGCGGTCTGACTTGATTCCTGAAGCTAAAGAAGAAACCACGGCCGAGCTTTTTGCTAGCAAACAGCTCCGGCTCGCTGGTTCAGTCATCGCCTAGCGAGCTCTGCTGCGATCCTTGCCATCGAGAGAGAGACAGAGAGATCTACACTACGCTGGCGTTGCGGCTGGCTGAGTGAAGAGAGGGAAGGAAAGTAAGCTAAAGTCAGGACTGCACAATTTGACCGTGGGGTTTACAAAATCTTCATATAAGATGTCTACAAGCTTTGCATACATTGCAGGATATCTTTTTGATAATTATAACCAAAAGAGTGAAAATGAAACATTGTGGCCTACATGTTAGAAATTTTATAATAATGAAGTAGAAATTTGACATCAAAATTGTGCTTGAAAATTTCATATTTAGAAAACAAAGATTATAATGAAATCTACTTCAAATTAACTTGTTTTCCGACGGCCTTAGAGAAAGTAGTGCAGAGTTGTTAGTGTGATG